GTAGTAATTGAGTATTAACAATGTTAGAAGAGCAAGAATAATAATAATAATAATAATAATAATAATAATAATAATAATAATAATAATAATAATAATAATAATAATAAAATAAAAAATAAATTGTGCACAGAGGCACATGGGGGGTCTCCGTGCACAAGCGCACGGGTGCGCGTGCGCGGAGGTACCTCCATCCAGGATGGAGACACTGATGTGCCTCCATCCAGCTTGGATGGAGGCAAGGATGGCCTGGAGAAATGCCTTGGATGGAGGCAAGGATGGATGTATTTCTGCATAAATGTCTCCATCCATTTATGAGAACCACGCATATGTCAAACCTTCGATCAAAAAATGAATCTTGTTTGCACGTAACAGAGACTATTGCAGTTTGATATGGTGGTTTAACAAATGAAGGGAGAAAAACATAAATATAAAGGTGGATGGAAAGACTCCCGTGTCTCCATCCACTGGATGGAGACATGCCTATGTCTCTCCATCCAGTACTGGATGGAGAGACAACGGCCTCGAGCCGTGTCTCCATGCCGATGGGAATTTTTTTTTTTTTTTAAATAATAGAGAAGGTAAGATTTCCCACATGTAGCACAATATTTTTAAAAAAATTAACATTCTGAGAAATAACATATAGCAATAAAATGTAAGTGTATCCAGCTACAAGCTCAAAACAAGATTAAAATTCAAATAACTTTCATAAAATGCAAAATCTAGCTTGTCAGAAGCATTGAACTATGCATTCCCTTTGAACCCAAAAACAAGAAATATGAAATTATGCATGCCCCTCTTAAATTCTTCAAAGTCCTACATAAAGTGGGTCACACTACACATTCTCATCCCATGTATCTCGTAATTACAAAATTTAGGGTAAAAATTAGACACCAAATGCTTTCTTTACTTCTATGTCTACACGCCAAGCATCCCTCAAGTTAAGTCTATTCGCACACTTCACACTTGATGATTCTTCAAAAAGACTTTGAAGGTGAGAAATATATTTCCAACAACAAATGTCAAATGATTGTAACCAACATTACAAAAAACAAAAAAATTACCATATTTTTTTTAATAAAGACCAAAAGCTAAGAAAACCCCAAACTTTATCAATTAGATATAAGCATATGCTTTAAACAAAATTTCAAGAAAATTCACAATCATAGCAACATTCATATAATTTTAGCCAAACATGCATTCAACAAATTATACCAAAAAACATTGTTTATGATATCACCAAAATAATTACTCAGTATTAAGTATGAGTAAACTTTTTTAAGTTTAGTCAAATGTTGCATACCATAGTCTGTCATTAAAAAATGAGAATAAATAACAGATATTTTGGCCCTTCATCTCCATCTAAAGGATTACCCGGAGCTGCTCTAATAGAGAAACAGTTTGTTCCAGCTTTAGCATTTCAATTTCAAAAACAAATTGAGAAGATAAGATTTCATAAATGATTAAATGAATACCTCTTTTGCTCAATATTTTCAGTGGAAGCTTTTAGATCAACAAAAATATCAGCCTCATTGAATATTTCCCTTGAACATTGGCTTTCATAACAAATAGATCTAATAGCAGTCTCAGCCGCAGAAACTGTGACACGAGGCCAGCCGTGGTAGATATGCAAGCTACTTAATATAGTAAATGAAAGTTGTTGATTATAATGCCAAAAATTTATAACATATTGCGCTTCAGATGATATCACTTTAGATAATTGAATGTGGAATAACACATTATAGACCATCAGACAAATTTCACACCTATTTTTCTCCCTGAAAATTTGTTAATTGAGTGAATTGTATTTGTCCATACATATACTTCAAACAAGATTCAGTGGATTTCAAATAGTTGCAAGAGAGAAAAAAGAAAAAAAATTCACAATGGATTTCCAATAGTCGCAAGAGAGAAAAAAACTAAAATTCACAAGCATCCCAAAGAAGTTAATTTTAATTTCCGATGGTTTACATAAGTCTTCAAAGATATCATCAATCAAAACCTTGCAACTGAATAATAAATTCATTGAGACATCACTCAGAAGTATACTGAAGCAGAAAGGCTAAAATAAACACCTGGTTCATCAAAAAATATTTAAAACCATTCACAGAGCCAATGAAGCAACAAGATCAGCATTTGTGAAGCTTGCTCTAAAGTTGCATTTAGTAAGAGCTCCTTCGTTGGTGTCAAATGACACATCAGTCCTCACAGCAAGTATTATTTCCCAGAACACCCGAAAAGTTCACAATAGGGTTGGCTGTCAACCCGATATTGGAGCTTATTCCAGCATAGTCATGTAAGTATTGAAGTTTAACAAATCAAAAGAATTATAAACTAATTTAAATAATAAGGTGCAAGACTGTTGGCTAATTTATTTAACAAATAATAGGAATTTTTCAATTTGATTTTAAGAAAATTCAAAATCAAAATAGTAATAAGACCTACTTCTCAAATTCATTAACCCCTAATTTATCAAGAGCGAAAAATGGGATTTTCACTAAATAAATTAGGCAATATGTCAACCCATAAAAACTTCATAAAAAATTACAAGAATTATAATCATAAGCCACAAGAATATTGGCTAATTACCTTATTATTAAGAAACTGCTGAATCTGATGTAGTTGAGGCTGAAAAAAATGAAGGTGGAGACTCTGTACAATTGTTGAACAAAAAGAACAAAACAAAAAATCAAAAATTAGTCAGTATGCTATCTCCGTGCAGCTTTCGTGTCAAAAAAAGTAAATGATTGAATAAGCAATCTAGGGCTAATGATGTGCATAAACTTACAGCATCCTTCTCCTCAATCAAAGAGTCCTCAGTTTCATTTTCTTCAATTATTGCATATATAAATATACTGTCCCTGGTGATTTATGAAAGGGAAAGTGGAAAACAAAGCAAACTCCACGTAATTAAAGCAAAACACGAAGCATTCATTAAGATGGGCATAATTGCATGTAACTTTTGAAACTCAATTTTCTTCTTCATCAATTCTAATTTCAGTCATCTTTAAGGAGACTGATTAAAATCGACAGTTCACTTACATTAGTTTTGGAACTGCTCATTTGATATTGATTTTGTAAATCAAAGTCTGAATTTTCCCCGTGACCAAAAAATTGTATGCATGAATAAAGTATATCATCAATATGTCCATTCGAAACTTATATTACAAATGATCAATTGTATGTTGTGATTATATGAACTAATGGGACGTGACCAAAAAATTGTATGCATGAATAAAGTATATCATCAATATGTCCATTCGAAACTTATATTACAAAGGATCAATTCTATGTTGTGATTATATGAACTAATGGGAGTCATCAATTAGCAAATATAATACGGCCAAACTTGTAGTATCGTGTAACTGATGAATCAATGGCCTCTTCTATCTTAAAACTGAGGAGGATGAAAAATTAAATGAGCCAACAAATCCACAATAACGAAGTCCAATTGATGTTAGTTCCAAGTATGAATCTTGAATAAAGAAGGCAACTAAAGGAAAATGCAAATTTATGAAAACATCATAAAGAACTGAGCATAAAGCAACTAAATATCAAAAACAATAAAATGAAGAAGGGTTGCTCGCTTACCAATGATTTTGGCAATGATGGCATCACGGGAATCAATTGTTTAGATTTTTTCAAGTTCTTCAAACCTCTTAAGTTCCAGCAGATAACTACCCAAATAAAATAGTGAATAAGCATAAAAACTTTCTATGTTATCCCCAAAGAAATGGAGAATTGAACCTACCTGAGTAATCTGAGTGCGAGGAGGCTCCTGAGCTACATCTTCAACCATATTGAGACCTGTGGTCATGCTTAAAGCCAATATTCAAGACATATAATTAGTAATTGAATAATAGTGCGTACCAAAATGACCTATGATAAAACAATCACATTTTCGTAAAACACATATATCTTCTATTTTTTTTCCAAGAAAAGAAAAAAAAAACAGAAAGAATGCAAAGTCTATCCATCAACCGTGCAATTCTACTCAAATTAAACTCTTCTATATTCCGCATAGCATAGTAAACAATTTATTCTTCGATTAAATATATATTTTTTGCCACTAAAGTACATTATTTTCCTTAACACATGTATACTCCCTCTTTTCGCAAGGAGAAAAACAAAAACAAAATAAATGCTGTAAAAACACATATTCAAGAATGATCAGTTTAACTAACCTTGTGACTGGTCGATGAATGGGAATGGCAGGATTCTTATTTCCATTAGCATTTCTCAAACCACCTAACGGTCATCAATAAATCACAAGTATCCTCTTTTCCATTTTGCAATCTTAACCAAATAAGCCCTAAATATTATGAGCATATACACAAGAACATCAATAGTTAGAAATACAAAACAAATTTACCCCTTTTAGACATGTAAAAAGGGGACAGAGAATACATTTTTACCACCATTAGGCTTAAAAATCCTCGTTATAGTCTACGATTCATAGAATTTGAATATATGACAATCATCCCACCTAAAGATTTGATCATAAAGGACACACTCATTACACATTATGGAAAACTTATAAAAATTAGGGTAAAAGACGATGACGTGGTAATCCGGGTTAACAGAACTCGGGGCGGTATAAGTAAGATACTTATGAATTGCCCCTGACTGTACAAGTAAATGTTTAACATAATTAATGTTAAAATATTTTTTATACTAAATTTATATATAATAATTGTATGTGTTGCAGATCTTGGCATATGAGATTGTCCTCCTTTGGGTGCCCAGTTTGCTAGGTGATGGGAGACTTGTCCTCGGATGCATCATTCACGAGCATCTCGAGTAGACGGATGTCTATCGACAAATAGTTTTTGCCCTCATCGACGACCCTCATGTCAGTGTTACACATTTGCGATTTATATCGAAAGTCGTTTCAAAATTTCATTACATGATAATTAACTAGTTGTACTGTCAATATTTCAACTTGAAGTCCTAACTGAGTTGATGTCGTCGATGGAGGAGGATGGTCGAGGTTTTGTGCGAGAATTAGCCTTTTAATATACTCGACAAGACCAGATGTCTGATTCCATCTTGGACCGAGATAGGGTATCCGAATTGAATATAATTTATTGATTACCATTTTGTATGGTTAGCCTTTATTAGCTAAATTAATAATTTTTAATGTTGTTTTTGTGTAGGAGCGCGGTCCAGTTGATCGACGATCACCTCCACCGATGAAATATCATTATCCTCCATCTAGACACCTCCCCCGTGGATTTCCTATTCACGGCTAGAGTCAATATTTTCCTGATTTGTTTGTCCGCTTGACTACATTTATGGTGGTAGAGGAGGTG